TTTTGTCTCTAAGGTGTTATGCACCTTATTTTTTCTTAGGTTTTAATTACTTTGTTGTATTTGGAGTGGTGGTTACCTCTTAAGTGTTAGACACCCTATCACCTTTTACATGTTGAGCACCTCATTGCCTCTTGAAACAAATAATTTCCTTGCTTTTGGAAGTAGAGTTGGAAATTGATGTAGATTCATTATTTCAGCCAACCTTTTATTTGAAGGTCTTTTTAGGAGTTGATTCCACATTGGGGCCAATGTTTGTTAAAATTGGATATTTAAGATATTTTTCCATGACAAAGGTAACTTGATAAATTTGTGCTATAGTAGCTGTAGATTGACAAATCGACTCTTGTTTGATTTGATCTCATAATCCTAATTTAAATGGAGAGGCAACTTGGCTAGCATTTTCTTCCAATTGACTCCATATTTTCAATTCTTCATATTTTTATGTAATCATTAACATGTTAACTTATGTCAAGGTGTAAGCTTGATCTTGGATTTTGTCAAAGTAGTTGGCAAGCAAATAGTTCTCAAGAGTATATGTCATCTGTCCCATATTTCCATTGCTGGTTTTTTTGTTCTTGTCAAGTTGATGCGAGCAAAAGGGGACAACTCACACTAAGATCCCATGACCAAGATGATACAAGCAAAGAGCCAAAAGAGTCCTCCCAATCATAGATTTCCGGGTATTTCACATGAAGGAGTCATTTACTCTTCTTGGGAGATTTATAACTGGACACTCATCTTTTTTAAGGCACATTAATCATACGAATAATAAGAATATTAAAGATTTTGGATACTTGATTATTCATTATTCCACAACCAGACACAACTCTCCTCAAAAATGGTTTTCAACTTCAAGTAAATCTCCTAAGGATTCAAGAATTATTATCATATCAAGCATGACTGGGCTTCAAGAAGATTATATCATCAAAACCAAAAGTTTTCATTTATTTAGAGTTCTTGTCAAGATAAGAGAGGACAAATCCTATTATTATAAATTTTGGTCGGGATTACATTCTTCTTCATCTCATGGTAGATAATTCTATATTTTCTCTAATTTCTCTTAGATTTTCTTTTAGATTTTATGATCCATTTTCTCATAGATTTCCTCATTGATTTTCTCATAGAAGAGGAATTGTTTTCTACTTCAATTTATAAGGTTTTAAAGCATCTTCAACTCAACTTCTACCATAAGAATTAATTAAATATTGGAAACCAAATCCAAGTTAAATCAAGTATGGAGAATTCGGCCACAACGCCACCACTTTTCAAGAGAGAAGACTTTTATTTTTATTATATTTATGCTTTTTTAAATTAACATTTTATTAAATTTCTAAATAAAAATATAATTAAAGTTTTTTTTAGGATTTAATTTTTAAATTCTAGTAGAATTAGTAAGGTTTATGCCAATATAAAGGCCTTACATATCGGTTGTAAAAACATAGAAGTTTGAGATCAATAAATTTAAACTTTTAGTTTTGATTAGTCGCTAGTTAAAGAGTGTTTTCATAAATTTCTTTTATGAGGTTAATTTTAACTTATCGAGATATTTTTTATAGTTTTCTGTTCAATTTAATTATCTCAATTATCTTAGTTCTCAATCATAAATTGATTGTGAGTTAAGTTTGAAAAATTTGTATAGGGATTAAGTTTTTGGGCTAAATTATATGGAGTTTTCAATCACATTAGTTGATTCTGAGTTCTGCATCACAAGTTGTCACTAATATGGTGCCACCATTAGCAAATTTGATCCGTCATGCATAACATATTATGCTAGTTAACATATTCTTCAACTGGGTAAGTCCATTCTCCACTCAGAATTAGGAGCTTTGACTTTCACATTCTTAAGAATGTTTCCAACCTGTTATCTTTAACAATCGCCAATCTAAGTGCCGCTGCTGGTGCAACTTTGAGGCTTTGAGCTATGGCGGCAGCTTGAGCTGCACTGAAGTTTTGAAATTCCTAAACAAGTATGGTGGTTGAATGTCCTTTTGTTTGTAGTTTGGTGCTTCTGGAATTTATTTTCCCTTAAGGAACTTTATATTTGGTACTAAATTTAGTTTTAATCACCATTCAACTCAAGAAAAAATCAAAAGTAGAACCGAATGTGTTGAAAGTCGTATAAACAGCTGCAAAACTAGTTCGGAACAGTGTTAAACCAGTCTGGATTAACCAGTTTGAACATAAATTTGGTGGAACAAGTCAAAAGGGCTGAATTTACTAAACTCACTCTCATCCATGCTCACATTGAGGCTCATTCATCAGCTTTCAGTCACCGAGTGACTATGGGGTTCTAGTGGTCTACTCTTTTGGCAATGGGCTCCAGAGTGGGGGTTGATTTGTTACATGGCTGGGGTGGTTGCATTCTGGTGGAGTAGGAGTTCTTCAGGGGGTGAGTGGCACATTTTCTGGAAGGTTCACAGTGAGGGTCTAGGCATGTGCCATCAGAGAGTGATCTGGAGTCTTCAGTGGTGATTGCGTGTCACCTCCTAATTACTGGTGGTGGACTTAGTTCACTGCTGGTTTGTGGGTTTTAAGGTTCGCGTTTGTTGTGTTTTTTGGGGCTTGCAAGTTGGCTATATTTTGAGCAATTGTTTTTTCTGATTTCTTTTGGCAGTAGTAACTTTGGGTTTGATACCAATTAATCTAAGACAAGTCAAGGTTAATTTGTTTATAAGGTGTTTGGAGATGAAACATAGATATCGCGTCTAAGTTTTATTAGGTATCACACTTTTGAACTTTTAAGCATTGCACTTAAGGATTTCATTGCATCAAAACCAAAACGATTGAGAAAATTCCCAAGATTTGTTTATTGAAAGTGAGATTATTAGATAGGATTAACTAAGAAATACTAATAATAATGAGAAACGAAACCTAAATCATAATTACTTTAAACTTAATTAAAATTCTAAATAGTTAAATATTAAAATAAAATTAACTTCCTAAATATAATTGCTGCTGCTATGTGCCATCTGCAAACATAGTATCATTTTATGAAATTTGAGGAGTTGTTTCTGGAGCTGGCTTTGGGAGCAAGTATACTTGCATAGAGTTATTAGGGATCAATTATCACATCGTTTAGGTTTGCTTGTTCCTTTGTTGCAAGTTAGTTGCTTGTTGCTTTCCCTAGCTATATGGTCTGAATTGTTGTTCATTTTATACTGGGTAGTCATAGAACTGTTTTTTTGTTATCTATAGAAGCTATTGGAAGAAACAAGCTAACCAAAAAAATAAGCAAATAGTCCACTGTTCTAGTAGTTTTGTAGACTACTACGGCAGAAATAACAGAAGTCTTAGGTTTAATTTTTATATTTCTTTTGGCTATGTTCTCTCTTTGTCCAATTGTGAGTCACTTGTCTCTTGAAGTTCTTAGTTTTTGCTGCCATTTTATCAGATGGATTCAGTATCACAGAGAATTTCCACTGCTCATGGCCGTGTGAATGGAGGTTCCACGGTTGACTATTCTATTACTAACTCGGCAGCATGTAATCTATGTGGAGTAATCATTGCTCCTGATAACGAGGCAACTGGTGACCTTGAAACTATCAGTCTATGTGGGGACTGTAAATTTTTATTACTTGAAGATGTTGATACACCAGTACGTATCTCTCGTAGGCGGCAATCAAGTAGAAGAAGAAACAGGTACAGCAGTTCTGAGTCGATTGAAAATTTCTTCTCACAGCAGTTCTCACATATGGTAAACATGGCAAGGCAAAACCTATCAACTGGCCATTGGCATGAACACCGAATTGCAGATGATGATGCCACTGGAAGGCTATTGAGAACAAGTTCTCGTACAACTCCAAGTGGATCTAGAAGATGGCGACGTGTTCTTTCTGATACTGAAAGTGAAGGTTTTGATTATAATGATTATACTTATGGTGAGAGTGAATCAAATGCCAGTTTGAGCCGGTACAGGTGTTTGCATGGTGAAACTGACGCCATTTCTTTTAGTGCTTATGGAGGGGATTCTGATGCTTCTATGGATGGTAATAGTTTGCTTGATACAGAACTGTTTGTTCAACCAGATGATGGAAATAATCTTAATGGTGACAGCGATATTGATCCCATGCATGCTGGTTTGAACCAGTGGAATTCAGATGACCAAGAAGAGGAAGAGGAGGAAGAAAATGAAGAATGGGAAGACATTGATACCGAGTTAGACACAGTCGATACAGCAGCAACAAGAACACAGATTCAAAATTTTTTAACAAGGCCAAGTGAAAGCAATAGCTCCATTAATTGGAATAGCCGGTTTGACTCTCCTGATTTAGAAGGCATGATCCGGAGAATCAGGGGAGGTAGACATACAGTAGCCCGTAATATTTTTGCTAGCTTGGATGAACCAGATTTGACTCCATATACAGAAAATTCTGGGGATTATCTTGGTGCAAGAGGCTTTGAAGAACTACTGGAACGGCTTGCAGAGACTGGCAGCTCAAGGAGAGGTGCACCTCCTGCAGCTATATCTTTTGTAAATAATCTGCCGCGGGTTATCGTTAATGATGAGCATGAAAAGAATGGTGGTTTGGCCTGTGCCATCTGCAAAGATGTTTTAGCCAGTGGGACTGAAGTAAACCAACTTCCCTGCCTTCACCTCTATCATCCATCTTGCATCCTTCCATGGTTGACTGCAAGGAATTCATGCCCCATTTGTCGATATGAGCTTCCAACAGATGACAAAGATTACGAGGAACAGAAGCAAAACATCAATGTTGAGGTGCGGATAAATGAAATCCAGGAGCTTCAAGTGAGTGAGGACAGTTCGTCTGATGTTTCTGATGAGGCTGAAGCACATGAATTTTGTGGATTTGAAACAGTTAGGACAGAGGAGAGAGAGCAGTTAGATGTGCATCCCACTGTGAACACCAGCAGCGGAGAGCAGGATAGAAGGAGATGGTTTTTTCTCACTGCTGCTCCAGTTGTCAGTCTTGCGAGCATTGTTCTTGTCTTGTGGCTAGGCACTCCGGGAAGAAACGGGTTAGCAAGCCCTTATAATCCGCATCCGATTCACTACCAAAGAGGAAATAGAAGAAGGAGATGGTGGCCTTTCTTCTAACTGGATTCTAAAGACCTGGTTGATAATTAGAGTCCCTGTCCAATACACTTGACCTACAGCACTTTTGCCTCACTGATTTTCATGTCTAGATGTATATTTGGCACGGAGACATCTTGGGCGGTCGATTTGATTTTCTTGCTCCTGCTAATAATAGTATGATATAGGTGGGCGAGAAAAGCTGGCTCTGAAGTCTATAGAGGCTTTCCTACAACGTCGTTTGACTGTAGTAAAATATTATGCTGTCTCCATGTGTTAATCACCAAAGCTTGGTGATAATTCACCCGCATTAAATTTTATATACGTGTTAATTCACCCGCATTAAATGAAGGATTGATTGTTTTCGTTTTGAAAAGTTAATTTAATCATTAAGGGATTATATTTTTTCTCTATTGTATTTAAACATTTTTAAATGTTTATAACTAATATTTAATTATTTTATCGACATTAGGTGTACCATAAATTTGTGAAGTTCTTCAAAATTCACTTTCAAATTTATTTTAAAATTAACTATCATGTAGTAAAACTTAATACAAATATTTAATTCGATAAATTTTTTATTGTTTTCATATATCATTGTCACATTTTGTATATTGTAAATTATGAGCTTGACTTATCTAATCTATTTCTAAATTAAATATTTAGATGTACATTATTTATTCTAATATCAAAGTATTACTTACATTTATACAAAGTCAAATTAAATTGTATTTCCCACAATGGAGCGACAATTATAAGGTTTTTTTGAGGAAGCTGAAGGGCCAAAGTAGGAAGTTCATCAAAGAGAATGGTGAATAGAAGAGGCTTAAGGCTAGATGTAATTTACTTCAAGAAATTTTTTTGGGTAGTAGAAGAAATAGAACCAATTCAATAAAAAATAATTTAAAAGAGTTGTTATCAGGTTAATGTTGGTGGAAAATAATCTCGATCGGTTGGGGTTGAAGGAAATTTGGGTACTTGAACATTTCATCAATAGGTTGTTGGGAATAAAATAATTGAAACTATTACTATTGATGAGTTACCTTCTAGTCCTTCTAGTGGAGGACTAGATATAGGAAATCAGTATAAGTTTGTTTTGCCTTATATTCAATATTTCATCTTAGTGGACAATTTTCAAGGATTGTTATAAATATGTTTACACAAAATATGTAGTTTTAAGTTCTTTTTGAAGTCCAAGAATTTGAGAGCATGTC